TTCCAAAATTCACAAAAGCAAAATGTTGTTCTGTATTATTAAGCTCAACAGAAATCTCAGTATGCAATGGTAGGAGGCCATAGGCAATTAACACTGCAAATTGAAAGGCTTAGAATCTTTGTGTGACCTTTAAAGGGCAACTGAGTTGCCCATTCATGTGTGTGCAATTAAGACAGTGACTAGTTCACAGTAGCAAAATTCATAAAAATATGAAAATATTTAGTAAAACAAACCTTGCATTAATCAAAAGCTATGCTGAACTCCCCGGGCTTAATGTAGGTTGTTAGCTTTACATAGCTCCTAGAGATTAAAGAGCAAATCAGGCTTATTTCTCTAGTTGTCTCCATTTTATCGAAGTACTAAATTCGGCCTATTGCCATGATTGCTAAAATGCAACATTATCACAATAGTGAATCTCACTGTAAAGCATTGCCAAAATCTACAGTATAAAAGAAGCAATGTGAATATAAATTTAGTTGAAATACTACATTTGTATAATAGCAATACTACTATTGCTGGAGGAAAGGAAAACGTCCCTTTTCTAAGTGGCCATTCAGGAGAAATTTTAAAATAATCACAGCCACTATGGAAGCCACTATAGGAGATTGAAGGGACTGATGAAAAAAAGTTTAACATAAGCAAATCAACTGATTCGTTAGTTACATCCCTACTTCACATGGGCCACTGTGAACAAAGTAGAGTATTCATTTTAGGGCTTATATATATTCACTTTTCCTTTTATATCCAAGCAGACTAGAAGTCTTATTTTCCAGTGGCAATAGTGATCAATTGCAGAAGTGAGCCGATTTACAGCGATTCAGCTATTAGCTTACCTATCTATCATACAAGAAGAAATCCAGCATACATATGCCACATACACATTGGAAAGAGATGAGTTTTGGAAATCTAACATAATTTGGAGTGTAATATCAAACGTTTCAGAAAAATTTGTAAATGCCAAACCACAATAGTAGCTTCAGTGTAAAGCATGGTTTGTATTTTGACTGTGGAGAAATACGTATAATAAAGGCAACATATAAATATATTGAGTTTCAAAATGTGTTGGAATTCTCAGTTGTAGTGTCAATAAACACATTCCCAAAGTTCTCTACATGAAGCAGAAAGTGGATTTTTTTCTTGCATTTATAGCCTAGCAAATAAAACTATCTTCAGAAAAAAAAAATATGCTGTAGGTAACAGTAGCTCAAATAATAAAACTCAATTATAAATAACCTTGTTAAATTATGCTACAGATTAAGTGATATAAAATATTGAAAACTGTGTATTTTAAAATGTGGACTTTTTATAGCTTTTGTTGCTCATTCAACAAAAAAGTCAGTATTTTACATGGTTGTCATTAAAAATTGTGTGTTTGTGTGATTTTACAGATGCATATTATAGAGAATTGATTTTAAATACTACTTTTTTCATATTTTATAAGTCTAAAATTTCTGTAAGAATAAAAATTAGTTTTATTTTATTAATAAGCACACTGAATCACTGAATGAATGAACAGAGTCAGATCTTCTGGAATTTACCAAATACATCAGTGGCCAATGACAACAAAAAAATAGAAACTAACTTACAGGTCTGTATTTATCAAGTCTACCTGTCTATCACTCATTTCAAGCTGTATTCCAAACCAAAGTAAAGCTGTGCTTTAAAAAGATTCATGGTACCTCACTGTAAAATTATTCCTTTTCTTTCAATGGAGTAATTAAATAGTTCTACCCTTTCCAAGTAGTTCAAAATGATCAAAGAATTTTCAAATAAAATAGCACATTCTTCATATTATATGCCCTTAGAAAAACCAATGATTCAAAAGCAAGATACAGAATGAAGTACTGTGCAAGCATGTGGGCCAAATATGAGGTTAATTCAGCTGGCTTGGCCTTCATTTTTAGCAGCAATCCGTATTAATGCATTTCTTATTGTTTTGATGGTGCCCAACTAATAATAGATTGATGAATTGCATTTGTAAATGTCAGGCATAGGTCAAAAGGGACTATGTTGGATGCTTATTTCATTTCAATTTATGCTTTTTAACCAAGAAAACAAAATCACACTGCACAGTGAAGTTCTTTATTTTTGCTTGAATTTTCAATGAGCAAAACAGCTGCAGAATAATGTGACTTAATGAGGCATCCCTAATAAAATATTAGAGAATTAAAAGCAGGGGCACTGAACTGCTTGCACTCTGGTTGTTTCATCTTCTCAAGTATATTGGAAATAACTGATGACACTTTGGAATAGTCTTCATTTGAGACATGCTTTAGAAAGCTCATCAGTAAATGTTCACTAGTATGCAGTTACAGCCGAACTTGGGCACAGTATAACAATACTGTTTTGTAGGGGCCATGATAAGAAATGCCTTGAAAATGCTAGAGAGGCCCACCTCATCCTTTCTCTATGGAGTAATCCATAGCATTCAATTAGTGCTAAATCAGCCTGAAAAAGATCTTCACACATTTCAATACAACAATACATTTTAAGGTGGTCATCAAAGCACTTTTGCGGACCATCTTGGACTCACGACTATTATAATTTTCTGATAAGACATAGAATCATCTTTCTAAAATTTTTTTATCATTCTCAAAGTCTCATCATTTTATAAATTTTTAAAAAGGAAAAGTGGCCATGTCTAAAAACAGATTTCCATTTTACAGCCATGTCATCACATTTTATAACTTGGTGGTTAGTAAATACTATAATGTAGTCTCTACACAATGCATTTCCATTCTGACACAGATCCATGAGCAAGCTAAATTCTTTGATTTGTCATTGTTAAAACAGTTAATATTTTTCTGATTCAGAATCACATATAAACCCTCCATCCCCCTCTAGCACAACTTGTAGAACTACATAATGTTTGCTTTCATGTAAAGGTTTTTAGGTTCTTCTTTAAAAGATATTGTCTAAGCACTATAAATAAATGAGTTCAAGCATTCTAAACTACTACATTTTAAAGGCAAGAAAAGAGTAGAGATTTTCATCTCAAATAATGCCTCCTTTAATAAAAATGCACTAAAATTGTATTTATGTTTGCCTCTTAAAAGACTCCTAAAAGTATTCAGTTGGCAGTTAAGATTACTCTCAAGGTCTTATAGCCATAATTAATATAATTCAATTGTTTTCATTGAAGACTAAGAAAATGAAAATAAACTCAGCTTCAGTGTGATTATTAATGCCTTTGAGTGGTTAGTGATGGTTTTAAAAACTTATTAGAGTTCTGAAAAGGTTACGATCCAACTGACTCAGGATAAGAACCAGAACAAAGTAAAAAAAAGAGACAATTAAATTAAACGCCAAATATTCTATTTAAAAACATGTCCTAATAAAAAATTTAAAAGAAAAAAATTAAGAATGTTAGGTGTCAGTTCCATAATGGTGAATGATTCACCCATCCAAAAGTATATGTGCACACAAAAAGGCCAGAGTAAATACAAATAACCCTAACGCTCTGCATCTTTTTTAAGTGCTAGAAGTATTTTTAACTTCCTGTGCTAGTTATTTTGTTTTATCACTTTAAATGGAAATCTTAAATTAATTCCTTGTTTGTCTTAGCTTATATTGCCTAATTGAGCAGTTTTAAAGTGTCAATTGATAACAATCTGAATGTGGACTTCTAAAACACTCTAGGTGGGAAGACAGGAACCAGATAATTACCACTCAGTCAATAGTCATTTCAAATTCATCCTGTCCTGTGTGGAGGACCCTCAAAACTGATGCTCTGGGAATACTTTTCAAAGAGTGCAGGGGCCTTTGTGGTTTTCGTGGGGTTTTTTTTAATCCATGAACAACTTTACAAAATTCAAGAGGGGATTTCACACTCACAGAAAGGATATTTTCTTTTCTCTTATTGTCACAAGTCAACCACCTAGGACGAAGTGAAGAGAAGTAAACCACCGTAGCAACTACCTTTTCGATTCCCGAGACTTCAGGCAATTGTTTAACACTCGGTCAGGAAGTGGAATACTGAATAGCAAGCATTACACCCGGTGTACCCCAAGGGCTGTTCCAGAGGCGCCGTCCTTCTCAGACGGAGACTGGATAGCTCAGACTGCTGCTCTAGGAAAAATGGGACGAGGGCTCTCCAACTTTCCCTTTCAAAAGCAGTTTCTGCAAATACCATGTTACCCTGTGATAAGTGAAGATCAGTAGCCTAAGAAAAAGCCTCGTGGTAGACACCTAGCCTTTTAGAATAGAAAAGGAGAGAAAAGCAAATGGAAAGGAAAACCCAGCATTACTAGCAAGGTTTGTCAAACACCTAATCAGAAAAAATGAAAAGTAATTAGTTTTTCGGAAGCGGTTTTCTTTTTCTGAAGGCTGCTGATCAAAGGATCCTTTTCTAAAGGTCCCTTGGAGTAAGTAGCCTTTACAAAAGACTTGTTCATTAATAAAGTGCCTGTCCCTACATCTAAAATAAACCTTTAAATAAATGAGGCGCAGGAGCTTACAGCATTATTCTTTATGAAAATACAGTAGTTAGAGGTAAGGAAATCAATAGCCTCCCTGAAACGCCCATCTCTGCAGACAGGCCGAGAATTAACTAATCAGAAGTGGACAGAAAGTAGGAATTTCTGATAGGCGACCTGACACATGCCATTGATCACTAATCCTCTCTTGAACACGATCCCCCAACTCTGGAGTAGGAGTTCAAAATGGTTACCGGCCAGGCTTGGTCTGGGTGACGAATCCAATTAAACCCCACTTCAGTCCTCCACCGGGTCGCGACGGTGTGCGGAGAAATGGGGCAGAGAAGAGAGGAGGGCACCGCTCCCCAGCCTCCTTGGGCACCCCGGTCCCTCCTGGGCGTCCCTCCACTCCGCCTCACCCGGACTGCCTGCCAGATCCTCTGCCCCCAGCTCTTGCCTCCCTCCTGTCACCCCCTCCCTTGGTCCCGAGCCCCGAAAAAGGGGAGGGAAACGCGTGCCTCGGGGGCTTCCGAGCCCGCGGTCCCCAGAGCCCGGGCGTCCGGAGGCGCGGTCGCACCTGCCTACCTGCAGCCGGGCTTCCCGGTGGCGGCAACACCTAGCGAGGTCCCTGCAGCTTCCGCGGGCCGGCGCCAGTCTTATCGCTCTCGCATCGCTTCCAGGATGCCAATCCGCCGTCACCATCCAGGGGCATAGGGACCCGGAGCCTGGCGGTGTGTGCTCGTGGAGGGCGTGAGTGTGGCCCTGAGCGTGCGTGTGTGTGCGCGCGCGCGAGTGTGTGTTTCCTGCTCCGATGGCAGTGAGGGTTCGGGAATCTCTTCACATCCAAACTGGAATCTCCCTAAAGCCGGAGCGGGGTGGAGTGGAGCGCCCGATCTGTCCCTCTTCTTTACCGCACAACGTCAAAGTACTCAAAAGATGTGTTTACGGGGAGGAGGAGAGCGCCGGGGTCCCGCAGCGCTGGCAGCGCTCGCTCCGGCCGCCCGCCCGCGTCCTCGCCGGCTGCGCTCCGCTCCCCAGACTGCGAGGATCGAGGCGGGCTCGCTGCAGTCACAGCTCTCATTCCATCTCTGATTTGTTTGCTTTAACCCGGAGCGCAGACTTTCCCTCTCGCCGGCGTCGCCCCCGCTCACACACGCGCGCGCTCGCTCATCCGCCCGCCTTCTCCCGCCCTCTGTCCCCGCGGAACGGCGCTGCCGCGGCGCGGTTCACCTTCAGGGTCGCGGCCTCGCCTCGCACTTCCCCAGCTCCCCGGCTCTCGCAGGTCGCGGGCCTCCGAGGCGGAGTAGTGGGTGGTTATGCGCTGGCCGGAAAGGAAGGGGGGCTCCGGGCTCGGCCGGTGTCCCCCGCAAGACTCCCGCGTTCCTCGGGCTCGGTGCCCCCGACCCGCAGTTCGTGGACGGGTCCCGCTGCTGCCCTCTCGGAGTCACTTAGCAACAACTCCTGCCCAGCCGCAGCGCCCCAGTCTGGCCTCCGAGTGCCGCAGGCGGAGCCCCACGCAGCCCACCCGCTGTCCCCGAGGCATCCTGTACTGGAGGGAAGGGAAACCCTCGGCTGGCCGCGTCCCCAGAGCGCTGACGCCGTCACCGCCCAGGAGAGGCGCGTTCGGACACCGACACCGACTACCCGAGCAGTGCCACCCGCGTCCCTGCTATAAAAGGAGGGCGGGGGGCGACGAGAAAGGAGGGAATGGGGAGCGGGGCTCCTGGAAACAAATCCAGAGAGGAAAAAGAAGTAAACCAAAAGCAATCAAAGCCTGTCGCGGCGTCACCGCCCCCAAGGCGACGTATTGTCAAAATACACTAGGGCTGGTCTTTAGAAAGTCTCCGTAAAGGGCAGCTCCCTTCCCGTTCCACTCTGCACCCCTCCTCCGTCCCACCCAGGTTAGCTGCCCAGGGAGCACGAAGCAAATGCTCTCTGTGCGCAAAGAAAGCAGGGCGCAAATAGGTGCTGACACTCCGGGGCTGAGTTCAGCAGCAAAATGGGACAACTGGACCAGGCGGCGCGGCCTCCCCTTGCTCTCTCTCCAGCTGCGGGCTCCTCTGCGGAGAGCAAACAGCGCTCCTGCAACAGAAAGAGTGAAAAGGTGAGGGACTACGCGGCCATTGGTGTAAATGCTGGACTCTGTCTCCCTCTAGAGGGAAAACCTGATTCAAACCAGGGCTCTTGTTTCTTGACAAAAAAAATAGTACCTGATTTCAGGAACTGTGCGGGTTTTTTACAAATTGTGACTTCTAATGGATATATAGGAAGAATTTGCACTGCAACCTTATGTAACCAGATTCCTTATTAAAGGAACTCATTGGTGTTTACAGAAATTTAATAGCGCGAATCTGAAAGATAATGTCCTTCCAGGTTTAGGCAAATTGACTGTTGGTTTAAATAAGTGTGCATATGAGTTCAAAGGAAGGGTCTTGGGCTTACTTTGATTATATTTGGTGATTAAAATATTATACAAAATTTAAAACGAAGGAGAATGCTAACCCAGGAAATATCATAAGATCTTTACAACATGGAAATATTTTTCTGAGCCAATATTTATATTTCTTTTCAACTACTATAAATCGCAAGATGGCCTGCTCTAAGGTTTTCCGTATGTATGGCTCTGAAAGTAAAGTAAGTATCACATGTTTGCTCCACTAGCTACAAAATCCAATACCATATTTACAAAGAAATACGGAATATGTTTCACTTATGTGCTTAGTAATTAACCATATTTTCTATCTAAAAAAGTTAAATAATTAAATTAGGTTGGGGTTGAGGTTTGAAAACTTTGTAAGGTTTATTACTTCAATCTAGGTCCTGCCTGTAACCTTAATATTTATATTTTGTAAAGTTACTATGTGAATCAAGAGTTTACTCCCAAAATGTTTCTGTATATTTAAACCTATAAAATATATAATAAAATTGTAATTAAATACCTTTCCATCTGCTCTGAATTTTTATTATCATTCTACTTTAAACTGATCATTGAACTTAGTATAATTAAAGTTTATTTATTAAAAAACAAACTTTTTGAAGCCATTTAGAATAAGCAACCCAAACTAAATAATGTAGGGTTTTCTATTTTAATTAGTTGCTCTGTAGGAGATTTGGCTTAGTCTAATATATGGAATCCTTTGTTTTCAAGGTATCCTCAAATGGTCTCTTTTCAAGATTCATCTTATGTGATTAAAGATTTTTTTTTAATTTTATTTAAGGAGAAAAAAGAAAAAAACAGAAAAAGGGTACAAGTTATACAGAATTTCAGAAAAAATAAACAGTAGGAAATCACTAGTTAATTACATATTGTCATCTTAGAAATAGTTGTTGAAGTTACAAAATTAAAGCATATAGAGGGGACTTTCAAACAGTGAGACTGCAAACAGTTTTGTTCAGTGATCCAACAAAACTCAGTAATATGGTTTCTACAATGACAATTACACATTTTGGGTTTTATTACTCCCACAGTTCTTACTACTTTTTTGTGATTAAAGATTTTTATTTCATTTCCTTTATATAGGAAATTATTTCCCCAGGAAACAAAGCTTACATTTTAAATATCTGGCACTTTTTCGTTGCAAATCATCAATAGTTTTTGTTTGTTTGTTTTTGTTTTTGTTTATCTGTTAAGTAGTGGCATAGAATCCTTGTAGGAATGATATTAGAAAGCTGGACTCAATAATGGGAGGAGAAGCTATTTACAAAATCACTATAGGATATTATTATTTTTTCCACAAGAAATACATGGCACACATTATTATCTTTTTAGCTTCCAATTCATTAGATTCTTTGTGGTGTTAAGAAAACTCCTAATTTTACCATATTGTTAAAACTTTATTTCTACCACTAAAATGTGGAACATTTTATCCTTATGTTCCTAATTAAATTCACTATGTTTTTATAAAACATGAAAAATTAGTAAAAAGAACAAAGGTATAATTTCAAAGTATAGCAGAATTTGTTACCCAAAAATGTGCTACTAAAATACTGCAATATTTATTATAATAGTTGTAATACCTTTGAACTTTCTATAAATCTTTGGATAAATAATGCGAAATAATTTTTAGACCAAGGAACTCTTTCAAGCACCTGCTAGGCCCTGGAAACAAAATGATTTGCATTTGCTCTAAGAGAAAGAAAATGGCAACTACTCCCCTCCTTTAGTAAAAATCTAGAGTTGATATTTCTTAACATCTCTTTATTTAAAATGCCTGCCTCCTCAAATATTGTTTTCACTGTTAAGCTTCATTCTGATTAACTGTTTTGCTCTATTCAATATTCTGTTTTGATAGGTTTTATAATGTTCTGTTTTTGGTTTGATTTTGCTACGCCTGATTGAATGGACAACTATTGTGAAGACCACGAGCTATACTAGGGTACATATTACTGTTATCCCGGTATCCTGCTGTGAAGTTCTGTACCAATGTCATTGCATTGTCTTGATTAGTTTTGTTCTGTCTTGTTCTATTGTGTTTTACTACTTTCAAAATTAAAAAATATATATACTTTTTAAAGGGCCTGCCTTCTCCACTGTAAGTAGTAAAAAATAAAAAGCCTTTAAATGATGAATTTAACTAGATTATGACTCTATGATAGCCCTCGAGTTCTGAGAACCTGATAAAATATCCCTGTGATGAACTTCAAGGTTTTTTATCTACCTTTAAAAAAACTATGGAAGTATAATTGGCCTGTGATTAACTGCATACACCTAAAGGATTCAATTTGATGTGTGTACATAGACATGAAACCATCACCACAAGATATTAAGATATAATATCTAATATTTCCATTCTCCCAAAAATTTCTTCATGTTCTTCCTAATAATATCTTCTTCCTCTCTGGTCCCCAGTGTTCACTAATCCAGTGTCTGTCAACTACACATTAGTTTGTGTGAGAATTAAGCTTAATTTTCAATGTAACTGGCATGGGAGCCTCCTAGAGTGTTAGTAAAGCACACTTCTAGGGCATATGGATACATCATGAGCATGACCTTGGGACTTACATCTGGGCCGCCGCCTCTTCCTCTCTGGCACTCCTCCTGTGCTCTGCTTCCTGACCACCCTTAGATGGACAGTTCTCCTCTGTCATGTCTTCCTACAGTGATGCTCCTGACTTCGAGCCAGCAAACTGAAACCACGATTCAAATTAAATTTCGCCACCTTCCAGTTGTAGGTGTCAGGAATTTCATCCTCTCAACAGGAAAGCTGAATAATGCAATTGGCACAAAATTTGTATAAACCCAATTATGTATTATTTTTTCTACCAGCTTCTTTCATCAACATAAATATTCACTCATGTTGTTGTATGTATCAATACATCATTCTTTTGTGGGTGTGGTGGAACATACCTGTAATCCTGGTACTCGAGAGGCTGAGGCAGGAGGGTAGTTCCAAGTTTGAGACTAGCCTAAGCTACAAGGTGAGCCCAAGGCCAGCCTGAACTGCATAGTGAGAACTAGTCTCAAATTATTTTTGAGTAATATTAAATATTGGGGTTATACCACAGTTTGTTTAGCTATTAACCCCTAAAGGGACATGTGGAATGTATCTGAGCTGCTTACTAATATAGCTGCTATGTGCATTTGTGGAGAAGTCTTTGTTTTTACCGCTCTTGAGTAAATTCAAAACAAATGACTGCATCATATGTTAGGGTATGCTTAATTTTAAAACAAAAAATGTGTTCCATGGTGTCTGTGCTACTTTACATTCCTATCAATTATAGTGGAAAGCTTTAGGGGTATCCAAGCCTTCTAATAGAAGCTTTTTGG